CTTTTTCAGTGGACCAATCTGTGCGAGGAGCAGCTGGGGAAGTGGAGACCGGAAAGTAAGTAACAATCCCCCCACTCCCTTCCCATCCGTTCTCAGCAGCATATCCCCTCTCCTCCCTTCACTTTACCCCATTGCTGCTGTCCCAAGGGCAGAGGCTGGAGGGGGAACACAAGAGCCACCCATGCCACTCCAACCAGGCTCTACATAGAGCTGGGCTCAGCCAAAGGCAGCAGCAATGGGCAGATTCCTCCACCCTGTCAGGTCCCCTGGGTGATCCCTGGAAGCCCAGGAACAGGAAAAGGAACCCATCCACTTCTGCACCTGTCTCTACCTGAGTCTGGCTCCATGTGCAGGCAGGATTCAACAGGGCAGGAACAGGTCCCAAGTCCCTTGTCAGCTAGAGAGAGAGGCAGCAGTGGGAAAGGGAGAGGAGGGAATATGCAGCCGAGCATAGAAGGGAAGTGAGAGTAGAGGATATATTTTCACCTGCTTGAAGGACTTAAAAAATCTCCCCTCCCGGCTGCTGCTCCTGCATCACTGTCTGTCTGCTTTGGGGTGTGTGTGTATGTGGAGAGGAGCAGGGGTGTAGCCACGCCTGCAGCAAAGATCACTGGTCCTGCACCCTGCTTTCCAAAATACGGGATCCATGCATACACCCTGCTACATTTTGTACCTTGCACTTATATATGAAGCACCCCAGGCCGGCACTGTATAGGATCAAGTCTTTTGTATGCATTAGAAAAAACAATGTAATTCATGGCAAAGTCCTTCCATCAATATGAGGAAAGAAGGATGCTCCTGTCCTTAAGGCAGTAGACAGGCACACAAGAGGCTTAGCTGGTTTGAAGTAAATTGTTTAAGTACAGATTTTAAGGTTATTCAGATACCTACAGGTGTTGCTGGCCACCTACTGGGATGTTTAAAACCCCTTACATCTCTGTATGTATCTTTAGGATCCTATAAATCTTCAAATATCTGGCTTCCCTAATGCCTCAGTTCTCCTACCTATAACTTGGAAATAATAATACTCCTTTACTGCTTACAGAGTTACTAAGATACTCCATCATACTAGGAAAAAAATGTATAAAATTGTCAAATATGTAGAATTTGATATCACAAGCCATCAATGATGGAGGAATGATGCCCCATACTTCTAGGAAATGGTTGATTTTAGCAGCAGTTTGGAAAAAATTTTTCCTGCTCTATGTACAGCATTGCACTGTTGACCCAGTACATTACCAGAGTCCTGAGGAATACCAGAATGGAGGTGCAGCACGTGTCAGCTGGTCTGTATTGCTTTTCACCAAGATGCTCACCACAAGATAAATTATTTTAATTTCTTGTTTTATCAGTTTTTCCTCATGTTGACATGAACTACAGTTTTTGAGTATAGCAGTGATTGGGACTTGTATGCATTGCTGCATAATTGCATTGCATTACATATCTAAAAAATGGAGGATCCTCTCTGCCAGAGATTGTAACCCCCTAGCGCTTGCCACTACCTCAGCCCCCCTGCTCCAGTTTGCTAAACTGGCCTCAGTTCCTTGCTTACTACATCTCCAATGTTTCAATTTCTTTGTATCCTAGGGGGCTGCCTTCAGAACCAGTTAGGCCTGAAGTCCCTGCTCCAGTCTTATCATCACCAGGCTGCTGGTCTATCCTGCTCTTTTGCATTTGCCTGGGCGGGGGTTCAGGCTCCTTCATTTTGCCCTATGGCCTTCAGACCCCTTTTCCATACTCCCCCCCACAGGGCCTGCCTATATGGTCCTTTGGGCTTCAGGCAAAGTCTGGGACTCCAAAACAGTCCCAATGGAGCTGATTACCCTGGCTGTTGCTCTTAAGAGCAACAGCAGCAGAGGACTATTTTGGAGCCCTGACATCGCAGTGGTGCTGGATCATGGGCTCCACAAGGGTGGGGGGCCACTCCAGCACCCCTTCTAACTTGGCACCTGGGGCAGGTGCTCCTCTCCCCCCCACATTTGCTACAGTGCCAAGTGCTGAAGAGTGGGAAAGTGAAGGAAGAATAATGCGCAAAAGGCCAAGTGCCAGAGAATGGATGTGTGGAGCACTACAAGATGCTGTTGGCAACCGGGACTCACATCTCACTTGCCCCATCCTACTTGCACTACTGCACTGTGCCCAAAACATGGTGAAGAGAGCTGCAGGCTTCTACATTCAGGTGGGATGCGAGTCTCTATCCATAACCATTGTTATTACAGGCCAACTGTTGGAACAGGTTTGATAATTTCAAAAAAGAACTTGAGGAAAGCTGTGTTTTAGACACAATGAGTGCATCCTGCTGAGCTCACATGTGCAGGGGCATGCATTTTCTGCAGGACAAATAGCAGCAGCCCATATTTATGCCATTGCTCTTTGTCCCCAGGTATGCTCCTGGACGCATGCTCCAGCACACTGCAAAGTGACCCAGGTGGGGTAGGGAAGACTGGGGCCAGCACTTGTGCTGGCCCCAGCAGTCTTACTTGGGGTCCTGGGGGACTCCCAGGGCAGCAGCAGCACTGAGAGTGCCACTCAGAGCCTGGCCAGCAGCTAGCATGGCTCTGGCCGGGGTCAGGCTCTATTTCTGGTGGTGCATGCTGCTGCCATGTGTGCCACACCACCTTTTTTTAGTAGCGGGTATTTTTTTTACATCGAGATCCCAAAAAGAACCTGCCAAAACCCGCACCGGTAAATGGCTGCACATGCATTGCATGCAGTTTGCAGTGCCTCAAACAGATTTGAGGTGCCACAAACCACACATGCACACTTGTCGGGATGTGCCCCATGAAGTTCTCCATATCCAACACTGAGGAGAGACCCCATACCTGAGAAGATATTATTTTTCTTTATATTTCTAATAGTGTTGGTAGCTCCTCAAATATGCAGGCTCTTCTATATACAGATAAAAGCATAGTCCGGTCCCTGGAAAAGCTTAGAACTAAAAATTGATAATATACAGTGCCTTGTTTTTTGATTGTAGGTGCTACAGATGTTTCCTCTAATATATGATGTCCTGAGAAATCCATTTCTTCAGAATGAGGTGACACGGTTGGGGGTGGTTCCACCGGCTCAGCAGTTGTGTCATCAGACTAAAAAAATAAATTTGCAAATAACTTATTAACAAAAAGGTAAAGCAAACATATTTTATCATTCTTTCTGAGGAAAGGCTTACCACATAAGTGAAGCACGAATCAATCAGCTTGTTCTACTTCAAAGAAAAGCAATCAGACATAGGTGACTGGTAGGGGGTGCACATGCCCCACTGATGGGGCTGGTGCCCCCCCCAATAGCCAACACTGATACTGTCAGTAGGGCTGGTGCCCCTCTAACAGGGCTGCTGCCATCGGCGGCTTCTGCAGGTGCCCCACCCCAGATTCAGAAGGCACCAGTCACTAATGCAATCAGAAATGCTACATTTAGGAAGTCCAGCTAAAGACTTCCTTTCAAAAAGCAGCTTCTTAACACTATTTCTGAATAATATGCACTTTTGGTGCGTTACTTATTACTGCTAAAAGGAAGTTACTAATAAAACCTACAAATATTAAGATGCAATATTTACACCCTGTCACATTTACGATTTTCTCTCCTTGATGATCACTTGTTTGAGGTGTTTTTTCTTTTTTAAAATATTGAATAGGTCTTGCTTCTATTTGGCAACAACTGTCTCTAATTTGGTCAAATGGGCTCATAAGCATAACTGAATGGTTTTTACAATGAGTAACAAAGTAGGCAAGAAAGTCAGAGCTAAGTTTTCCTGAAAAGCTAACATAGTATTTTGAGACCACCACTGTCAAAGGGATTCTTTTCATTCGATTTCAAATACCTGTGTTCTAAAGCAGAAAGCATTAAGTTATTGATATATTCATTCCTTATCTGATTATTTCCTTTATAAATTATACATTTTTCTCCTGGCATTTCCTATTATTGTATTTCAAATGCTCTTAAAACCAATAGCCCAAAATACCAACAAGTGTAATCTATTGATCATAACTTTTTTTAAATACCTAATATCTAAACATATTTCATTACGTCTTTCACAATAAGTCACTTTGGCTAGGACAGGCTACTGTAAACAGGTTTCCCTCACTTTATGCGGGTTCTATATGTGCAAATTCGCTCTTATGCAATGACCCTTTTATACCAAAAATTTGTTATATACAAGGTAAATTCACTCTTATGTGGTCAGTGAGGTGGAAACCTGCAGTCAGCTGCTTTGTGCGGTGCATTGTGGAACCGATGCGTACCAAAATATAGCCTCCTGTGTAGATCTTTGCCTCTCGCTTGTTGGCTGTGACACGTGTTTCTGTTGTTGCCATCCTCATTACGATAGTGCCCTGTGCTTGTGTGTATTGTCTGCTGTTGGCAAGTATCAAAATTGTCTTGTAAAAGTGGTAGAAATGGGCCTGGGGGGTCAGTACAGTCAAGGTCTTGGAAAGTATCCCTATTTGTTACATTGTAAAGTGGGTTCCCTTTAAGTGAATTCGAGTTATGCACTGTTTTCCAGGAACGCATGTACAGCATAAAGCGAGGGAAACCTGTATTGACAAAAAAACAGCAGTAGTACTTTGCACAAAGGTTAATAATAAACACCAGTGTACTGATTTGGAAGGAGATGTGTAATATGAGCCCCAGGGACCTGTGGGCAACTCACTGGACTGAAGTATTGTCTCTCTGCACATGTACTGAGGAAATCTTCTCTCTCTGCTGGGGGAAGAGAGAGGGTCTGTCCTTTCAGTGGCATTTTCCCCATCCATGGAGCTCCTCCATTACATGGAACTGAAGGCATATGTGGTTATGGAGAACTGGGTGTGGACGGGCTGAAGCAGTAGGCTGCCCGGCCTCGTGGTACCATTCCCTGGAGATCCGATGACTTGTGCAAAAATTTAATCAGGATCCAATAAATCTTGGGGGCTGCACTGGCTACCTCTGTGGCTCTAATTGAGTCTCTTCTCCTCATTCCAGGAAAACTCTTAGGGTATGTCCAGACTTGTAGGCACATATGGTTTGTGTTTCCACTAACTGCACATTAAACCATGTTCGGTGCTGCTCATTTGCAACACAGGGGCAACATTTGCTACTGGGATGTCCTAACAGCAAAAAAGCTTCAATAAAAAATGTGGGGCAAAGCATGTAAAAGTAGCATGTGCCCAGACAAACACAGAGATGGGGAAGCAGGTAGCCCAGGGCTGCCTGCTCCCCTGTCTCCACGTGCTGTGGAGCCTCTGCACCGAGGCAAATGGAGACAGGGAAGCACTAGCCCAGGACTGCCAGCTCCCCCATCTCAAGGCACAGCTGGCTGGGGAACAGGCTACCTGAGCTTGAGGACTCTGTATCAGAGCCTCCATGCCGAGACAAGCAGAGACAGGGAAGCAGTCAGCTTGGCAGGACTGCCTGCTGCCCCATCTCGAGGTACCCTGCACCCCAGCCAGCTTCTCTTCGGTTGGCTGATGCACAGTGTGCCTCAATGTGAGGGCTCCATGCTGCGCAGAGACTAGGGATTGGGCAGCCTTAGGCTGCCTTCTCCCCCATCTCCATACGCCACCCCCCTGGCTGGCTGGGATGCAGGGTGCCTCAGCATGGGGGTGCCTGCCAGATAGCCCCACACTGAGGCACCCTGTGCTCCAGCCAGTCCCACCCTGCAGCACACAGAGTCCGGACAGGAGCCAGGAGGAGCTGGACATGGCCTGGAACAAAGGGCACATGCAGGGGTGTGATCTACGGCACAAAGTAGCAGCACGAATTTGTGCCACTGCTATTTGTGCCACTCCAAGCACACGTCCCTATGCAGCTATGTGGTATGTGATGCTGCAAACATGCCTGTGGCACCACATACCACACATTTAGATGTTCTCCATGCTGCAAGGGCATGCTGCCCATGTGTGCACTGCTCCGCTTTTATTTTCTGCAGGTGTTTTTGATCCCTGGATATCCAGAGGTCAAAAAAGCCCGTGGAAAAAAAAGCGGGGCAGCACATGGAGGCAGTGTGTACTGCTTAAAAGCAGAGCCAAGCTGCTCAGAGCCATACTCCGGCTGCTGGCCAGGCTCCACATGGCAGAATTGCCACTGCTGCAATCCCAGGAGGTCCCCAGGACACCAGGTAAGGCTGGTGGTGCCAGTAGAAGACAGTTCCAGTAGAAGACAGTCAAAATTCACAGGAATTCAAAGTTGCACTTGGTTTTCCAACACTTCTCTTGGGAGAATGACATGGTATAAGAGAAGGAAATATTTTTTTCAGAGCTAGCTTGCACTTTGTTTCTTGATTTTTTATCTGTTTCTTTGATTCTTTCTTACACTCACTAATTTTAAGCAATGTAGCATCTACTATGTAACCATAGGGTTAAATGTACATCCAAGGAGCTCAGTGGTTCCTAAATCTTTACAAAATGATCCTGAAATCTGAAGTGTAGTTTCATAGATGGTAGGGTTGAAAGGGACCTGAGCAGATCATCAAGTCCGACCCCCTGCCTGGGCAGGAAAGAATGCTGGGGTCAAACAACCCCAGCTAGGTGATTATCTAGCCCCCCTTTTGAAGATCCCCAGGGTAGAAGCGAGCACCACTTCCCTTGGAAGTTGGTTCCAGATCCTAGTCACCCTGACTATGAAGTAAGTGCCTCCTGATATTTAGCTTGAATCTACTCTCAGTCAATTTATGGCCGTTATTCCTTGTTACTCCCGGTAGTGCTCGGGGGAACAGGGACTCTCCCACTGCCTGCTGGTCCCCCTTGGCCAGTTTATAGATGGCCACCAGATCCCATCTCAGCCTTTTCTTGTGGAGGCTGAACAGGTTCAGGTCCTGTAGCCTCCCCTCGTAGGGCCTGCCCTGCTGCCCCGATCATGTGAGTGGTCGTCCTCTGGACCCTCTCAATGCTGGCCACATCCCTCCTGAAGTGCGGCACCCAGAACTGGACGCAGTACTCCAACTGCGGCCTGACCAGTGTCACATAGAGAGGGAGGATCACCTCCTTGGACCTGCTCATGATGCATCTGTGTTCTGTGATAGCTCTTGCTCTGAACAGCAGCGCACTTTTTACAAGAAATAATGGAATTCTGTAAATACATATTTTTGCTACCTTTAATGTCACTCTTTAGCTGCATCTACATGTGCACTTTAATACGCATTAAAGTATCACTAAAAATCATAGGTACCTATACATGTGCATCGAGGCTGCTCTGATGCTCTGTAATTAATCAAGTCTGCTGGAGCATAGTAATTGCTATACTCCAGCAGACTCCAGTGTCATGTGTATCAGTGTCCCTGCACTGAAAAATGGCATTGGGGGTGCTTTAACTAAAGCTCATTCAATGAGCTTTAGTTTAAGTGCTCCAGCCACCATTGTTTCAGTGTGGGGACACTAATACATGTGACATTCTGGGAGCTTTAATTACAGTGGCTCTCAGAGTCACTCTAATTAAAGGCCCCCCCACCTCCCAGAGCATGTGTATTAATGCCCTGTGCTATTTAGTTAATGTACACTAAGACAGGCTAATGCCTATCTTCTTAGTACCTCACAATGGAGGTACTAGATTTAATGCGCATTAACTAAAGCGCGTTTATGCAAGCATAGACGCACCCTCTGAGACATACAAACTGAGACTTTCAAGTAGGAATCCATTGAGTCAAGAACACTCTCATCTTTTGTGGTGTTTCTGAGTTCTCTGCAACAGAATTGCTCTATCATCTTTCCGTAGTCAAAACACAAGTCAAAACTAATAGCTGACATTTTCTGAGAGGGTGCCTTGGATCTAAAAAGGTTGAGAATCCCTTGACTGTCCATTTTTTTCTCTCTTGGTCATTCACTGTGTTGAAAAATTATGTAAAAGCTGCTGAATGGAAATGTACTGAACTATTCCAAACAGGCCCATCTATTGTTACAGCTCAGTACAGTGCTGCTTAGCAAAACACAAACTAGACCATGCAGTGATAAGCTACTTTATCCAGCAACTATGTTACCATGCAGGACCCTTGACTTGTTTCATTCCAGCTCACCATGGGAATCTACTTTGAACTGATGATCTTTGTAAGTTTGCCTGGCAATTTGTAATAGAATTATGTACACATAAACTCTCTCAGAAACATCTATCAGTTACTCTATTGATTACAAAAATGTCAGAAGTTTGGCTGTGTTTAGTTTAGTGCTTCCAAAGAAAAGGCACATTAAAAGTTGATGGGCATTCATACTGGAAGGCATACAGATCCAACGAGTCACTGGCATTTAGACATTTCATATTTAGCAAAATCATTAAAGTTTTCTTAAAGGCAACATAAATTTCACAAATTGTCTATATGTGGGTGCTACCTTTTTGCAGGCTACTGACACAGCTGTAACACATTTTAAAAGCATTCGTGTGTCACCTAACAGGGAACATTCACAAGAAAACCTTACAATTTAAGAAGAGTGATAGTCTACAAACCACCAATACTTATGATTATTTGGCTCAGGAAACTATGCAATGTAAAATATGGGGTTATTATCTCATATAAAGAGGCTAACTAGAACTTCACAGACTGCTCTTTGTTTCAAGTCAGGCTGTAAAAAATGACAAGCCATTACCGCAAAAAAGTGTACGCAAAATGGATCTAGAGCATAAAGATACTTCTTTTTTATGGTTTTAAAACAGTTACAACAAAAACCCTCCTAAAGATGCATTCTTCATGTTTGGTTTGTTAGCATAATGCTACAAATCTGTAAGGAAAGCATCAAGTCTGCAGTTCTAGAAAATATATCCAATTCAGTCCAGTCTCAGTTTTCTATATGATGTACAAAATGCTTTTAAAGCAGAAAGAAACAGAAACAAACATTCAGATTTCTTGGCATTCACTCATCTTATAGTGACTGAGTTGTGGACAGATTTAAATAAATGATACATAAATTAGAAGTGGCCTGATGAAGTTTGCAGTAATTTTGTTGGCAGGTGCTGTAAAGAAGCACATATAGATGTGTCAGAGCATTATCATCATAACATAACATAGCCACATTTTTCAATAAAACTTGAGTTGTCACTTCCCTTTGTGTTGATTCATGTTTAATTACAAGCTTCAAATCAACTTCAGGCCAATGCCAAAAATCATACAATACACTGGCCTTCTAGGAAGATATGGCATTCCTTTACCACCCATACCTTGAAACGGCATTTGGGCATCTGAGTTTTCCTACCTAGTCCAATGTAGGTCCCAGAAGTGTGGTATCTCAGGGGGAAAATGTCCCAGTTTAGTGACTATTACTAGTGTAATATTATACCTAGAAGGTAAAGTTGAACTAATTGGTCCTTACTGGAGGTTGAGATGATGCAATGGCTTCTTGTGTCTCAGGAACTCCTTCCTGTTCTTGAATGCTACCATTGCCACTGGTATCTCCTGATGCCTACACAGAACAAATCATATCACACTTATCATTATCACTTATGAAAGTCCAGAGGTTAAAATTATACCATCTGGTATGTCTTAACTCCTCAGATTCTCTTACATTTTACTTTTCACTTAGGCATAAGTAGGTCCAATTACAGTTACATGTTTCTCTTACAAATTTGGTCCCAAACTCATAAAATTAATGTACTGCACCAGACAAACCATTTTATGGAAATTAATGTCACTCTTTAAACACACAAAAATTTAGGAAACTAAAGACTCATGGATTCTGAGAATTCTGATTTACCAGTAATTCCAACCATTTCAATGTATTTCAAAGAAAAGACATCACTGTTTGTTTTGTAAAACAAAACATAGACCTTAACAGCCTCAGTATAATAAGTTCACTGAAAATAGCACTTACATATGGATCATCATCTTCACATTGGTCTTCAGTAGCCCTTGGGTCTGGTTTGATTGTTAGTTGTTGAACTGAGCCCTTTATGGGGGAAAAAATCCAACAAAAGCAATTCAAGGAAATGTTTTTTTTTCAAAGAAAAAGCAAGAAATCGCTATAGGACATCTCCTCAGAACTAATGCCCTCTACACTGCCTAGATTACTTGAGCCATGTTTCAATATTCCAGTCAATGTACATATTCATTACAAAATGTCTTAGCTTATTATATAGATACGCTTCTACTCTGATAAGTTAGGTTATATATTTTATGAAATGTTGGGCCTATAAAATGCTGTCAGATCTTTGTAGACAGAATCTGCAATATAAATATAATAAGCGTTTAAGGCCATGTCTGGGGGCGGCAGGCAGGGTAGGGAGGGGGAGGAGAGGCAATTAGACGGGATCAGAATAGAACTAAATTAAGGCAGAAAGAAAAAACAAATGGATTTTAGGATCAAAAGACTCATAGGATTGGAAGGAACTTCAAGATTCACCAACTCTGACTCCTGCAGTAATGCAGGATGTGCTATAACACACTACAAAAAAATTCTATTCAGCCTCTTCTTGACAGTCTCCAATGAGAGAGATTCCGCAGCTTTCCTGGCAGCTTGTTCCATTGTTCTACTGTTTTAATGGTTAAGATGTTTTTCTTAAGGATTTATTCCAAATATGTTCTGCTGCACCTTCAGCCCATTACTTGTGTCCTGACCTCTACAGCAAGAAAAGACAACCTTTCTCCTTTACGACAACTTTTCAAATATTGGAAAACTGCTCTCATAACTCCCCTTAATCTCCTTTCCCCCAAATTAAACATATGTAGTTCCTTCAACCTTCCCCATATGATTTGCTTCCCAATCCCTTTATCATTTTAACTGCTCACCTTTTGACCCTCTCCAGTTTCTCTACACCCTCCTTATAATGTGTTCTCCTGGACTAGGCACAATACTCTAGCTGAGGCCTAACAAGTACCAAGCAGAGTGATATCATCACCCCGCCATGTCTTGCATATACTGCTTATGTTAATGCAACACAAAACTGAATTTTGTTTTTTTTGTTCCTGCATCAGCCTTCTGACTCGTATTAAATGAATGATCCACCATAACTTCCAGATTCTTCTCAGTTGCATAACTGCCAATCCAGTTATCCCCCATTACTTTCTTGGTCTTACAATTTGCATTTCTCTATCAAATGTAAATATTACACATATATATTAAATATGATAGGTGAAGAGCTAAATACCTGCCTGTGTTTTTAGGGCATGCTGGAGAGAGAGAATTATTTAATTTAAGATATTTATAGCTTGCTTCTTTGATTGCAGAGAACCAAGAGTTTTATAAAGTAAACCCAGAAAGTGTTCTTTGTTTTGAAAGTTCTGTAATGAGGAGAGGCACAATGAGCTCCATATTCATAGCATTTCACTGATAGTGAAATTAATTAGTCTGCAGAAGAACTGCAAACTTCAACATTGCTAATATGCAGTTAACAGAGAATAATAAATGCAACAATACAAGTTTGGAGACATTTATCTCTGTTCAGTAATTGAAAACAGTAAATGGTATCATTCCATGCAAATACTACATTAGTGGGGTTCCCTGGCAGCTGCCTCAGTGTGCCGGGGCAAATAGGAGCAGGGGAAGGCTACAGCAGTTACCCAGACCCAGGTGCCATCCATGGTAAGTAGGGACATGGGTGGGGGGATTGTGTGAGGGAGACTGGGGGTGTTGGGGGGACTGTGTGGGGGTGGGGGGGAATGCTTGATGGGGGGTGGGTCCCCTGCCCACCCCCTGCATTGCACATAGTCCCCCCACAGCAGCAGCAGCCACAGGGCAATCACTACTCGCTACAGGCAGAGCCCCCCACATTGTGGTGCAGCGCCAGCCACCTCAGACCCAGTGCTGCTATTGTCACAAAGCGTGGGTCTGGCCCGGGGCCGTGCACTTTCTGGCAGGACTGAGCTGCTCTTGCTGTCACCTGCGATCCTGGCATTGTATTCAGGGGCCATGCATTAGGCCAGGTCAGGTCCTGCCTCCATGGAGTCAGCCTGGCCTGATGGCTTGTGGGGCACTTGGAGGCAGGACCCAGCCTGGCCCAAGGCCCAGACAGGAGCTGCAGGTGATGGCAGGAGCTGTCCCGGGACTGTTCAAAGCCACATGCTAGCATGCCAGGCCAGGTCCATTTGCCATGTGTAGACCCCAGGTCAGGCGCTGCTGCACAACCACAGGGCTATGCCTGCAGCGAGAGATGGCCCCAACAGCCCAGCTGGCTGCTGATGCCGGTGCCAGGGGCTATGTGCCGCAGAGGGTGAGGGGTGCATAGCCCTTGGAACTGCCCCTCCCCCCCCAGGCTCCCTCCCACAACCCCCACACAAATCCCATAGGCCCCCCAACACACACCCCATGTCCCCCCACGTACCTCACCTCCCACACACCCCACATCTTCCCCACCCCCCACACACCCCCACAAACCCCACATCCTCCCTATACCCACACCCACCCAAGAACCCCCAGGTGCCTAAATACAAAAGTGTACGTACCTGGCTTTTGAACCCAAAGTTTGAAAGGGTGGCCCTATTGGGTGTGTCCACACATGCAGGCACGTGCGCTTGCAGCGGCTCAAATAGCAACAGCACAGATTTCTGCTGGAGATTTGTGTCTCAGCACACGTGTCTGAACATGCACTTTGGTGTGGGGCAAATTGTGCTACTTGGGGCAAACTGACCCTGCCCAGCTCCTCCCGATTCTTCAGTCGGGGGGTTAGAGGCTGGGGCCAGCACCTGTGCTGGCCCCAGCAGTATAAAAAGCTTCTCTGATGAGCAGGTCATGGCTACTTGCCCTCAGGAGCTTCTGAGGACCCTTTTCTTCCTTAGTTGTCCCACCAAAAAAAAAAAATCAGTTGTTTCTTTCAAACTTTGGCCCCACACAGTCAGGGCTATTAGTTAATTAGGTGGGCCTTAAGGCCTACGATCACTGGAAGATACAAACAGACAGGAGCTTCTGAGGCCCAGCCAGTTGGTATCTGGGGACACTAGCCCCCTTGCTAGCAGGACCGCTGAAGCAGTCCTAACCTAGAGTGGTCCCAGCACCCTCTACCCAGTGCAGTAGTCTGGCAGTGGGGGCTGCTGCCTGGCTGTGACCTGCTTCCACCTGTGACCACATCCATCCCCTTGGACCTGCAGACCCATGGCTGTGCACCTGCCAGACCCAGACAGGGACCACACGGTAGCCTGGGCTGTGATACAGGCACTGTAGCAAAGTTGCCTGCACCTCTGGGCCAGTTGCCAATGGGCTGTGGCTGCACAGTTGGCCGTTAGGCAGCACTGCTGTCATGTCTCCTGGTGTCCCTGCTTTGCCATCTGGGCAACTATTGTGGTCCTTGAAGTGGCCCACTTCAAATTGTTGACGTGTGCCCTCCTGGCTCCAAATGGCCAGGAGGTCAGCCATGTTGGCTGCACTCCAGCTGGGCCCCCGGTGCTAGCCCTGGGCAGGCTCCTCCGCCCAGGTCCCAACACTTGCCTCACCAGCAGAGATCCTGGTGTATGCAATTTAAAAATTGCATATTCTTTGATAAAAACCTCCAAATTCTCTCATTAAAATACCCAAAATCCATGTTCTTCTGCAATTAAAATGAAACATCACTATATATATATATATATATATAGAGAGAGAGAGAGAGAGAGAGAGAGATATAGAGAGAGAGATGGATATATAGAGAGAGAGAGAAAGCAATTTGGAAGCCTACCACTATCTCTATCATCATCATAAAACAAATTCTAAATATCTATACAATTTGGCATTTGCTTTTGGGTTTTTTGTCATAGAAAAATCATAGCTGCCTCCACCCCCTTCACTCATCAGGATGTGGGATGCTGAGCTGTATGGATATGTCAGTTCCCTGCCCCTGCCTTTGCCCCTCACTCCGAATCCACAGCCCTGCCAGTGCCCTTCATCCCAACCTGCAGCTCCTGCCTGCCCTCACTAGCTCTCTCCTGGCAGCAGCTCCGTCCCAGCATCAGGACATGAATCCATCTGCAGCTGTCCCACCCGCTACTTTGTGGCTCTGAACAGTGCCAGCCCTTGCTGTTTTCCTTCCTGCATCTGTGCCCAGGCCCCAGCAATCCCCATGCCATTCCTGGGAAGTCCTTGACTGGGGCTCAGTGGTTGGGCTGGGCAAGCCCTTTCCCTTCCAGGCTGGCCTCCCCATGCATAGACTGCTCTATGGGGGCAAGAGGGCTCTAAGCCTGGCTCTGGTGGCCTCTCTTACCCAGAGCACTCCCCCATTCCCATCTCTCTCTCTCTCTTGCACACACCCCTGCTGCCACCTCCACTCCTTCCCCCAGCCCATCACACCCCCCAAAGTAGTTCCTGGGACCAGGAGCTTCCCCTCCCCCGTCTGGGGCTGCATGTCCCAGCACTGGTGTGGGCACGGTGCAGGGATGCAAAGTGGCAGGTCCTGTCCTGTCTAGTGGCTGGGCATACAGGGTGTGAGATTTGTAGGTGGGCTGTGGGGTTTGTGGGCAGGGGGGGGTTTGTGGGTGGGTGTAGGGTTTGTGGGGTGGAGCTTTGTGCGGGGGGTGTGGGGTTTGTGGGGGAGTTTGTGGGTGGGGAGGGACATGTTTGGTGGGGGGGGGACTGTGTGGGGAAGAAGAGGTCCTTTGTCCGCACCTCCACATGGTGCACAGTGTGAAGCAGCGTGCTGGAGCAGATGGGGAACAGGGCTACCATAGAGACGCTCTGGCTGGGTGCCAGAGAGTCTCCCCTTGGAGGACTCGGCCTGTGGTTGCCACTTCTTCTGGCATCTTTTTTTTTTTATATCAGGATTTACCGGTATCAAATTTAGAGCCCACATTGCAAACATGCAGTGCGGGGAATATTTTTTCATTCTTAGCGTGCCTCTTGCAGCATCTCGAACTGCTTTGAGACACCACAATAGGCACGTGCTTGCTCTTCTGGATGCAACCATTGTGTCCTTAAAAGTCTGGATCATTGTTAATTAATCCAGCTTCATGGTTTTCTCCTTTAAAAAAACTATGTATTAAGTTTTG